ATTTTTTAGAGATTTATTAATTCAAAATATGGAAATGAAATTGAGGTATTAGGAAGTTAACTATGAGACCATTTGAATAGTTATATTTAATACTGTGCTTAATATCTTGTGATGCCAAAAGCTACAGTGCTTCTTAATATGGAGCAGCCCGAAACTCAGTTACTTAAAAAACAACACTAATATGAAGATATCTACTGTAATATTAATTTATTTATATTGAACATCTGTTATGTATTATTTTCAAGATTTTATAGCAAATGCTTTACCAAGAAAGCACATATAATCTATATGCACGAGTAAAATTATCATAAAACTTTTACATTTAAAAACAGAAAACATAAACTTTGATGTTTATTTTTTCCCAAGAGATATGATAGGAGATGGTGGAAAACACCCATTTGTGGATGCAGAAAATTTCCATAAACAATAATAAAAATACCATCTTGCATTTTAATATGCTTTCCTTATAAGCTTGGAACTTAAAAAAATATAGCATGCTTTAAAAACTTTGTTTACAATGCTTAAATTATAGGTGTAAAAACACTTGAGTGATCTTTAATGACATATTTAAAAACTTTAATTAAGAACAATGATGACATAAATATTTGAAACTTCTTATTCAAACTGTATATGCATGTTTTATACATATATACTATAAATAATTGGATTATTTGCCTAAGGTACTGTCAGATGATAGTTATTGTGATGATTATGTCCAGCGAAATAGTTTCAAAAAAGGTTTACAAAAGTTAAAGAAGATAATAATGCAGTAAGTTCATTCTAGATGCATGCTTCTTTATATTTTAAGATTTCTGATATCAGAATGTGTCTTACAGTTGCTCTTGATCTGAGTTGAAGTTACCTTCTTTCAGAAAAAACGGTTCTTCTGCCAGACACATGAGACCCTACTAAACTGATACTTCTTTAAATTAAAATTTTGTCTGAGGTTGTTGGAATGAATTCAGAAAGTAAACCTTCATGAGTGCCACCCTGTTTCAAGAAGTGTTTTTACCCCTTTCCACTGTCCACGATTATGGCTAAAACAAGCAAATTTCCTCATCTTTTTCTGCATTGGAATTTATTTCCCCTTTGTGCTAATACTGAAACATATTGTGCCTTGGTTTGATACTGGAGCCATCTTATAAGATTGCTTATCTTGAGCAATTTTTTTTTCTTAGTAGTACATAAAATAATGGTGCATCTTATATATAGTGACATCTTAGACTTGATACAATTTGGTAATTTATTAAAATTAGGGATTTTTTTAGGGCTGACGTCATGTTCATCTATCAAATCTTGAAGATTCTCTTGGGCTAAATGCTCAGATTCACAGTTGGATTTTCTACATGTATAAAAGAAGCCAAGGCACAGACCAGATTAGCATTGCTACAAAGTACTAAATTTACAGCTCTTCAGACCATTAGGATGACACTGCCAAAGATATTTTATGAAATTTTGGAATGACTTTGATGCCAACCAAGACATAAATTGAGCTAAGTGTGGAGACACTTAAGAAGATTGAATTCTATGGAAATTTTACTATGAGATGCTAGAAAGAAAATGAATGTATGTGGAACAGCCCAGAGAAATATTACAAAGTAAAATTCAAAGATGATATTAAACTAGAAGTTAGAGTATTAAATATTTCAAAGATTCAAAAATATTAGATGATTTTAATTTTTTAAAAAAATGTTACTCATGTTGAAGCTTTTTCTTCTCTGGACATGTAGATCATAGCATGGCTCTTTCTTTTGTAGTAAAGAAGAAGGCATGGGAGGTAGTTTAAAGGTAAATTGACTCAGCCACTTGCACTCTTGAATGCAAAGTCAGACCAGCTCCAGTTTTGTGTACAACAGTTATTTTAAGGAAGGGAACATATTGAAAATAACCCGAGATTTCTCTTTAGTATTCTGTATGAGGTGTGAGTAGTGAGACAAGAAGATCTGCCAGCACATACATACTTAGGGTTTTGTATTAAAACTTTCCTAGGTGAATGGCCACCAGTGACGGAAGAGAGCATGCTGGATCAAGGAAAGGGGGGCTGGATTCTTCTATATTTCACCTAGGCCAACTCACTATTAGTGCGCTCTTTAACTAGAGGGAGCAGAGCGCTGAGTGATTGTTAAAGGTTTCATCGAGAGTAAAATTTCTTCCACTTAATTCTGAGTTATTTTATATAGTCTCTCTATTAAAACCTCAGGATATGTAAAATATAGAGTGTTACAAAATATGTTTACCATTACAGCTGGAACTGATTTAGCTTCAAGTTGCTTAGCAGCTTTCTGTGAAAACATCTCATATCTTTATATGTTTCCATATGAGCACATATGTTTTACTCAATGTGAGATGTGACATTAACAAGACAGCATATATGACATAACAGGGCTGGCCTCTGAGTTTTTGCCCATTTCATTTTTAAATATTGATAACACCTATTCCAAGATAATTCACGGATTCCTAATGGGAAGCCTCAGCCTGGCCATGTGGGAATGCCTGACTTAGTTTCCAAACATTTGAAATTTACTATAATCTTACTTTTGGTCAATTATCAGTACAAGCAGACAGAAATAAAGAGGCCTTTGAAAAAAGGAATGTTTTATTGCTGCAGAGCTTCTTGGATGATTTTACCATTTCCTCCCATATATCACAAGCATCTACTTAGAGTTGTTTACACACACGCACACACCCACCCCCCACACACACACACACAGCCCAGTAATAATGAACCACAACAATTCCCCTTACCCCTACCAAATGCATTCTGATTGAAGAATTACAAGAAAAATTGATTCACGTTCGTTTTACTTTGTATAGCTAAGCAGTTCTTAAATATTCCCAATTTTTAGTCTTTTCAACTCCAATTTCATCAAAACAACTTTAAAATTTGAAATACTCTCTAGTGCTCATTCATTCAACAGTCAACAGCATTAATTTATCTACACTCTCATTTAAAAAAAAATATGCCTTTGATCAGCTTTTCCATGTATATGAACATTCATGATTCATATATATATAATTTTTAAAAAATACTAACTGGGTCTTTGATGATATTGGATTGTTAAACAAATAGATGTATCAGTAAAATATTGTATTAAAATTAAAAATATTATATTGTATTATACAAATAATTGGTTATCAGTAAAATATAAATATATATTTATACATGAAATTCTCCAGTAATCTTTAAAGCATAGCACAATATCTTTCATATACTGTATATGATAATTGTTTATTAGTTAATTCACTGGTTGAGATTTCTTAAGAGATTTTGTTTCTGAATATGATGGTGTTAATAATAACAATGTATGACTTAAATAATTTTTACAGTAAATAATAGATGTTATTTAGTTCAAATCTCTACTAAAAACAAAAACGATAAGTATTTATGCTGTAGCTTGAAATATTTGGATAATTTATTCAACAAATATTTATTAAATATCTGCATGTTATTTATTATGATGTCGACAATGTTGTATCTGTTGTAGCTCTAGAGATATAAGAATGAGCAACATAACAATGTCCATTTTAATAAAGAGATTAAAGTCTGATTGAAAGTGAGCTCTACTTACATCGCCTTGCTTCTTTTCCTTCCAGTTATAATCATTAGCTTCTCAGTAGCTAAGCGAATAGATTCTTTAGTATAATGAATTAATATTTCATAATACTGTATTGCTTAAATGGTGCTGATCATAATTCAAAATTTTTACATGGTATAGATTAATAGAAGACTAATGAGTTTTATTGTCCAATTGAGTTATGTCATTTGAAAAATTTAAGAACAGTGTGTCAATAATGTACTATACCTGTATAAAGAAAAAATTCATAACATTTGCTTCAGTTTAGTACTACTTTTTTTTTTTTAATAATGAGAACAATAACAGACAGGAAAATCCTTGGTAAAAAAATTTTTTGCAAGCAAAATGGATCCAAAATATAGGCTCAATGTATGGTTTACTGGTATGGGTATCTTCCAAACAACCCTGTGAGAATTTTTGAATCACACACCAGCACATATAGGATATACAACAGGGGATCTGACTTTCAGAAAGGTAGCTAGGTTTTGGAACACATGCTAGGGTGCAATTTGTGTAGTGTGTGTTCTTTCATAACATGCATGAAACATGAATATTCCACACGCAGAATGAGTTAATGAAATCCAAGTTAATTGATAAAAAATATCAGACCTTCTTTTAGGATTAATGTAAAAGGCACCAAAAAAAGTTAATATGATAATTATGTTCAATTACATGTAAAATGTGTGTATTTTACATTCTAGTCATTTTTAACTATATTCATTAGCAGTGATGCCATTGATAAGTTTCACCAGCAGAGGGAAGCACAGCTTCATTGTTATTTTTGTAAAGGGTCACAGTGGGGAAGTGAGGTATACTACAATTTTACTGCATTTTTAATTAAGATTGGTTGGTATTTCAGCATTAAATAAGTAACCTGACATTAAATTGGCCTTGACATCTTTTAGGAGGCATAAAATAAATTTGGTCTAAAATCCCCAGTTCAAGAGAATATTCTATTAGTAAATCAGTGTGAAAACATCAGAATTATCTTCTACTTGACGAGGATACCCCAAAACAATACATAAGGTTTATATCATCGGTATATTAATGAATACTTTGCATGGTTTATTTTAATACACTTTCTTCTTCGATATATTTAAATATTTTTGTTGCCTACTACTCTCATGTCACTACTATATATGAAAACATGTACCTAAACTTTTTGTTAATGTAAGGAAATTGAGCTTTAAGTTTCATAAGAGTCTAAAATCTTGACTTGATCATACTTGCAATAATAAGACATACTTCAGTGCTTTGTGTTCTTTAGAATTTTCTTTCTCCCAGATTTTCATTCTCTTTATTTACATTTCTATAAGTATTCTGGGAGAGGTGTGTGCCCTGCATAAATGCGTGTAGATATGCATTATTTCTTAAGATTTTATCCTAGCGTTAACAGGTTGAAAGATGAAAAATGTTGTAACTTACCATGATGTTGTAAGTCTGAACAGTGAGTTAGTGGGTCTCCATTTCTTATATCTTGTCGTCTTGTTCGTCTAAAACAATTACATTTAAAAAGTATTATTGTATCTCTATTCTCTCTTGGGAATTTGTCATAAAAATTAAGAAGTATCAAAAATCAAAACTCTAAGAGCTTATCGAAAGAGATGCATCTACACCTGAATAAAAGATTTTTTAAAAGCAGCTCATTATACCTGTAAGAGCAGTCTCCAAGATAATCAAAATGGGAAATAGTATACAATTGTACTGGCAATGTGTTAAAAGTCTTTCTAAGCATTGATAACAGAAAATTCATGGCTTTTTTTGCTACTGGATGCCAATCAATAAGAATCTAACATCTAGAAACTCCTAAATTTTTAGCAGCTTAAATTTTGAAGAAAAAGCACAAAATATAGACTAGCAATCCATTTCTTCAATAAACAGAATTTAATGTTTATTCTGATTATAAATGAAGGAGTAAGCTTGAAAATTAAAATTCACATGTGTGTTCTCTTTCTCTTAACACATACACATGATTTCTGAAATAGACTTTTGTTAAATCTAAAAGAATTAAGAAAATGAATTCTATTTTAAATTAATTTTTTATTTTCCATTTTTGTTGCTATATCAATCTTTTTAAAATAAAAGATTTATCAATGATCGTATAGCTATGATTGCAAACCGATTTACCTTTGAAGTGAATAAAAGAAGAAAAGCAACAAATATTGAGATCAAGTCCTACTTTTGTCAGAAGAAAGTGAGGGAGAAGACAATGAATTTACCACTAAAAGAAAAGCCAGATTTACTATAAAAATCTAAATGAATTTCTCCTACATTCTACTGCTCAGGTCATGTTAGCTGCAGTCCAAACTAGGTGTCCTCTCTGCACTTTGATAATTGTTGACTGGGGAGGAGGTTGGCTCTAGTCATTGTGGTGCAAACTAGATGTGTATTTGAGAAAGAGGATAAAAATGGAGATTGGCTATGTGTAACACAGACTGGAAAAGATTGGAGACACTTGTCCAACTGTTTTCTGAATCTATTTTAATGGATATTGTCTTGCCATAAAGTTAGTTATCATCCCTCGAAAGATCTGTCATAAAGGCCATTGAAAATTGCAAACATGGAATTTGTTACTGTATTCATAAATTTAGAACTCCGAAGTATTTATAGATTTCTATTTGTAGAATTGGTGAGACTATCAACAGATGTTGCACATTTCAAAATTGAGCCAACAAGAGAACTTGTGAAACACGAACCACAAAGCATCTGAGAAGGCATTTTTACTGCAATTTAAGCTTTTGAAAAAAGCCATCACAAAGAATACATAAATGTGAGGCCTCTAAACATCTTTTCCAGAGACAAATAAAGTTGGGTTAAGTAAAATCTGCAAGGCACAGCAAAAACGTGTTAACAATCTTGGATTGTAGGTAAGCAATAAACACATTTCAAATATATAATACTATACAGCTTTTAACATTATAGATGAAGTGATGATTTCTAAATTTAGTTTTTATTAAAATTGTCTCAAAATTAGAATGGATTATTACTAAATTAGACAATTGTATACACTTTCACATGGAAAGGAAATAAAACTCATTTTACTTCAAACACTAATTCTACATTTTCGAGTAACATTAAGTCCCATAGTGCTAAAAGATTTTAAGAACCATAAAATTTTAACCAAATAATTTAATTTGATTGCAGTAAAAATACATATTTCTATTTATTAAACTATCTATGGTTTCTTTAATCAATAACACATTAATTCCACACTTTTTATTTTAAATTCACAACAAAAATGGTAGTTAAATCAAAGTTATACAAACGTGTTATCTTAATCCTGAATGTTAAAGCCTTAAGAAAATTGTATTTGTTACATGAAATAAGCTAATACTATATTTACATTTAATATTAATAACATGACAACTATGTTTTAGTCCACATGGACTAATTATAGGATAGATTTAAATTGTAAATTATTTTTCACTGCAGTCAGTATTATCTAAAGTGTATAATCAACAGATTTTAGTAGCCATTAGGGTTATTTATTCCTCATAATATTTTTTCCCAAACATTTGAGATAAAGCTAATGTAGAACACACTTTACTAGCAACAACAGCAAAAATCAACATTAACAGCTTCTTGTAAAATATTAGCTATAATAAAAAAAACAAAGCAAATTTTATTGGTCCTAAAATGTAGTGGCTTGATGATGTTACTTTCTATTTTATGTTTCAGTAGGCTAATGTGTACACTATTAATCTTTAGGTTTATATTAACAAGATATTGTATATTACTTTCATCTATCATTGCCTGTTTCCTCAATACTAGTAAATACAACAGAGAAAGGAAGCCCATAAGTGAGCCATAGAGAACATGTTGAAATAACTATTTTATCAAATAAATAAAATGTTTTTATTTTTTAAAGCAAAAGTAAATAAAGTTTGTATACAACTTTTAGGATGTGCTAAGAATTCCCTCAAGTATAACTGTATTTCCTGAACATAAAACTATATCAAATGATCAAATGTTTGTTCCTAATGCATTCAATCTTCCAGACAGCAATTTAATTTTATATAAGCATGTTGTTTTAGATAACTTCTAGGTATATCTTAGCAATTTTTATTTAAGCATGACTGAAAAAATACTTATAAGTATTACCAAGAATATACTTAAAATATTTGTATAATACATATCTACAGATTGATAGATATTTTATTATGTACTTTTATATTTCAAGTTCAAATATTGCAAATACAAAATGATATCACGATAATATGGTAGCTTTTAAATTTCTTAGGTCAAATTAAGATATATTTTGGGAAAAATAAAGATATATTTTGATGCTAGTTAATCAACATTGTACAAAAATATGATATCTTCAAAACTAGAAATAATTCTTAACTTTTATAATTGGGTACCTGTATACTAAGACTCTAAAGTTAAATAAATTATTTTCTGTTCATCCAAGGATATAAGTTGCCATATTAAAATTTAAAACTAGGATAAAATTTTGCTGGATAGAAAAAGAAGAGCATTTTTGGATAAAAGAACATTTTGGTAAAAAAGCACAAGGCCCAGTTTAGGTTCTTTGTGCCTTTTTCTGGGGCCTTGGCCCTCAGTTTTCCCCCTGTGTAAAGCGAAGTTGCAAAACTTCATAATTTCCAAGTGTAAACATTCAAGAATATTATTGTGATGTTTTAGATTTCCCTCAGTAATTTATTAAAACCATTTGTCCCATTACATTTAGTACCCAATTATTCTATGATACGTTTTTTTTTCCTTTTGAATATTCAAAAGAAAGAAAAAAAAAAAGCTCTCTAAACCTTTTTATTCATCAGAAAATGGTTATATACTTATATGAAGATAGCTGTTCCAAAAATGGAATCAGGTGAGATAAATAGCAAATATTTTTATTTATTTTTAATATTTTTCCTACCTCTTTGCAGTAGGAAAATAGCGAGAGCATGAGGAGCCATCCCAGGCACAGTAAGGGTCTCGGGCAAGGCAGCACTCTGCGCAGGCTTTCCCGTAAATATCGCATCGGTGTAAAGGGAGCTGGGCAACCCCCGTCAGGGAGCCGATGTATAGTTGTTGCTGTGGAAAGAGTTTACTGTTATGACAAAAGCTATTTTGGTTTTCAAATTTCTTTTTTCTTAAAAAAAGAAAAAATGCATTTATACATATCTTATCAAAGATAAATTTATATTTGTGGGTTTTGAAAAAAATCTCATTATTGGTAGTTTTGTCAAAGGCCTGGCAGTGACCATTTAAAATACAGTAAGATCAAAACTTAATCTTATCGAAACAGGTGTATTTTATAAGCATAAAATCAAGGGAAGACAAAGGATGACAGTAATAGTTATATGTCAATTATTTAAATAAAAATATTTTTTAAAAAGACAGTAGGGCATTGAGCAATGTAATACTGAAATTCTAGTTTTTTGTTCTTTGATAACTCATTTATTTTTGCTTCTACCATTTATAATTTCAATTAATCAGATTATCTACAATGCCATGTATTCTTTAGGCAGGGATCATTTGCTTCTGATTCTTGGATGTCCCTATTACATTGCCTGAGATGTAGTTTGCCCCTCTGTAAGAAGGAAAAGGGCAAAGTTTTAGTGTTAGCATTTGTAAAATGTTTGTCCTTAAACTCTCTAAGAAGATTACTTTTAATGAAGCTACAAAATTACTTCTTATCTGAAAGATCATCAAAGAGGGGAATCAAGTACACTCTGACTCGTGTAGTAGACTTAAACCAAAAGCTCAGGTGTTGTGAAAAAATGCTGTATTGGGCATAGAGATCCCTGGATTCTAGGTCTTAACCTACATTAACTCGCTGTGTGACCTTGGGACAGTCACATAATTTTTCTAAGACTTCATTTCCTTATCTATAAAATGAGCATGTTTAATAAAATATGGCAACAAATTATTGTAATGAAAATCTGATGTGATTAAAATATCAAAAATTAAATACAACTCAATGACTAGCTTATATTTTACAATTAATCTGCAGTACTATTAATAATTTGCAAAGCTAATTATGCTACCTAAACGAAATAGAGGGGAGGCTTGCAGGTACCACAGAGCATAATCCAGTCACTAGCAAGCAACCTGATGTGTTTTTTCTGCCCAATTTAACATCACCGCAGGCTTTCTCACTATCCTCCTTAACAAGTTGCAGGTCATAAAGCAGGAGATGAGTCCATTTATCCAGAAAATTAGTTTCAACACTGCTTGTCTCTCTTGAAACAATGCCTCACTTTTAAAATTTCCATGAGCATGAATGAAACTGAGTCACAACCTAATGAAATCAAACTTCCAGTAATAGAAAATAAAGGCTAGGGACACTTTCTTCTGTCATTGTATTTTAAACTGATAAACTGTTTTTTTGATGAAATGTGTTGCATTTAATAGGCAATTCTTAATGTAGTTCAAAAATTTTTTTAAACAGAAAGGAATGTTTTACAATACTAAATATAATGTAATTAAGATTGGCAATGAAACCTAGCAGAGAATAAATAACAAAAAATCATTACAGAAAAGAATATCCCAGGCTCGCTTTCATCCTGGAAATCCCCAGATTTCCTTGCCAACATTTGACAATTTTTAGATTACAAGAACAGGTGAACACATACTTATGAAGTGTAAGATAACATTATCAGGTCAATTATATCTGCACTCTGAGTTTCTGTAAATATTTTGGA